CCCCCCCCCCCCCCCCCCCGCTCCATCCCTGGGCAAAGCCCATCTCTCCCCTCCTGGGCTGGGGTCTCCTGCGGGGCAGGGGGTCAGGAGCCACTCGCAGGTTGCCATGCCAGCGGGGGGGCCCTGCTGGATGCATGAGTGTGGCCATTGCATTTGTCTGTGGTTTGTCTGTCGGGGTGTGCCCATCTGTACGTGTGTCCATATCTCAGGAAATAAAGCTCTGCACACCCAGTTTGGCTGCTTGGGGTGGGGGGGGCCGGGGGGGACTGGGGGTGCTGCTGCCCACCTCTGCCTCTGCATGCCAACGGGGCTGCCTCCTCCCAACATAAACTTTTTATTTCTCTGGTTTGGCACAAATGGAGCTGGCCCAGCCCAGCTCCCCCCTCCTACCCCATCCTGCAGGGGCACAGGATCAGACCCCCGGCCCCCCACAGTGGGCTCATCCCCCTGCGCTCCCCAGTCTCTGCCCGTCCTCCCGTCTCCCCGGCTCAGAGCTCGATGGTGTCGCTGGAGAGGCTGCGGGCGTCCGCCGCCTTGCCAAGGGCCGGGAAGCCACGGGGGCCCTCGCGCTCCCATGGGGGGGGCATGGCGGGCACCAGGAGGGGGGCCCGGCTGGGCGCCTCGTCCAGGGGCAGGCTGTCGGGCGAGGACAGCCCATGGCGCCAGGGGTTCCAGCTGATCTTCAGCGAGCTGCTCTCCAGCGAGCTGGCCGAGGCGGTGACGGTGATGGTGATGCTGCCGGGGGGCTGCCGGGGGCCAGGCAGGTCTGTCAGCGAGCTGCAGCGTGCCATGCGCCCCAAGCCGGGGGTCTCGGCGGGGGCCGGGGAGTCGTGCAGCGAGGCGCCGGAACCACGGCGGGGTCGGCCGAAGAGGCCATCGTGCAGGAGGTGCCGGCGGCAGAGTGCCTGGTCGATGCTGCGGCGCAGGTCGATGGGGGACGGCGGGCGGAAGGCCAGCTCTCCCAGCGAGGGGGACGAGCCCTGCTCGAAGGCAGCGCAGGAGCGGGCAGCCACCGCGTTGGGGCACTTGGGGCTGAGCCCCGGCATCCTGGCGCTGCCGGCGGCAGCTGCCCAGGCCTCGTTGCTGTCCTTGAGTGCCCGCAGGGGCAGCTGCTCGGCTGGGTTGCGAATGAGGCTCTTGGAGATGTCGTTGGCGGGTGCCCGCTCCGGGCCGGTGCCACCGGTGCCACCTGTGCCGCCACTGGCCCAGTCGTAGCAGTTGTTGGGGTACTCGGGCGCCTCGG